CCCACCCAATGCTGGCATGCGCACCCTTCATTCGCAATAGCTGTGCAAGCACCTTTTTCGCTCGGATATGCCTCGATACCCTTATGACGGATTCTCTACAAGTCAGGCCACTGTGCTAGGCAGCATCTTTCCAGTCAGCATTATGATGTCTGCATCGACCAGCAGAGGCCATAGGCTGCTGCTGTTTCCAACATATGCTGAAGGGAAGTGAAAGATGAGGCAGATGCCTCCTCCTTGTCGCTTGCCGGAACAAGAGGCTTTCGTTTGTGGATGTGACCTCGTGGCCAGGATCCAATGGCACTCTTCCGCCTCCTTCTAGTATATACAATTTACAATGCACACAGCGTCAACGGCGCCCGGCTTTGTATTCCACGGCGAGGCCCACCACTTGGCCCCACGTTTCATCCGCTGGCTAAACCACCACCCTTACCCGGTGAGAGCGTCCAACATTTATAAACAAACTCGAAACCCCTCTGAAGCAGCCAGAGCTCAAAACATTCCCACACAGTATTCTTCTTCCATTATTCCTAACATTTGTTCTCTCACTAGCCAAATGTCTTCGTTCAGGAACATCGCGGCCCCTTACTGGGCCGAATTTATCGGCACCCTGGTTCTCACCACCGTGGGACTCGGTGCTACCGCGCAGAGCCTCGTCAACAAGGACAGTCAGACCGACGCCCTGAGCAGCTCTGTGGCCTGGGGCCTTGCTGTTGCCCTCGGTATTTGGACATCTGAGCATGTCAGCGGCGGCCACATCAACCCCGCAGTGACCATCTCCAAAGCTATCTTCCACGGCTTCTCCTGGGCACAGGTTTCCGGCTACCTGCTTGCACAGACCCTCGGTGCATTTGTCGGTGCTGTCCTTGTCTGGGCCAACTTTGCCGCCGGCCTTGCTGCTCTCAAGCCTGGAGAGGCCGGCCTCCACCCAGCCACCGGCGCCTTCATCACCTCCAACGACTTTGGACAGGGCTTCTTGGGCGAGACCATTGGCTCGGCACTCTTTGTGCTGGCCATCTACGCTGTATCGGATGCCAACAGCAGTGCCAAGAACATCGGTCCGCTCGCCATTGGCCTGGCACTCAGCGCTGTGTCTCTTGGCTTGAGCTCCCCGCTCGGCCTGGCCCTTAACCCTGCTCGTGACTTTGGACCCCGCGTCTTCGCCGCCCTTGCCTATGACTTTAATGCTCTCACTGACAGCAGCCTGTACTTTGTCGTCCCCATTGCTGGCCCTATCGTCGGCGGCACCATCGGTGCCTTTGTTTATGAGTGGCTGGTCAAGCAAGATGCCGAATACCACCACCAGCTCGAGGCAGGCACTGCCTGAATATCCCCTGCCTCCTCAAGTGAGGCAGCTCACTCCTTAATATCTCTCCATAGCGTTTACTCTGTGCGACTTTTTACCCACTACTGGATAATTTGATTTTACTATCTCTACCCAGAAGTACATCATAATACATAGAGGAGCTCAGCGGTCCATGGTAGGTACACCGACCAGCTTGCCACTCCTATGTGCGGCCGCCGCCAGCTGGTGCCTGGCATCGAGTGAGTGGTACGACTTTCTCAGCTGCTTGTACTGCTTGATGAAGTCATCACATTCGGCCAACCCAATAGTACCGTTGTGGTTTCGGAAGTTGTCCAGCACCTCGTTCGACTTGATATCGAGCTGATTGGCTTCATCATTCATCCGCTGAATCAGTGTTTGCGGCGAATATGGCTTCTGAAGATCAACATGCTCCTGCACCAGCTCATACAGCCGTGTTGTCAACGACCCAGCCACCGCCTGCAGCTCTGCCACCTTGTCACGCATCTTTTTCAGCTCGGGCTCCGCGGTCAGGTTGATTTCCGCAAGACTCTCGTTCTCGACCCGCAGCTCGTATTCGAGCGTCCGAGTAAGCTGCACCTGCTCAAGCCCGTCAATATGCGCCTGGAACAGATCTTCATACCGAAGCAGGTCTTCGAGGTCATCCGCTGACTTGTTGGCAAACGTTGGGAAGTGCTCTCGCAGTAGCCGCAGCTTGTCCTCTATAATTTGCCGGTCTGATGGCAGGTTGTAGTTGTTCATGGGCTCAGGAACTCGCGAATCGTACGGCCGCAATGCAACTGGCTCTCGTGACGAATGCGGCTCAAATTCGCTGAGGTCTGTGGAATCTGTTGGAGGTGACATTGTCCTCTGATAGCTATAAAGAAAAAAAAATGTGGAAATGTGAAAAAAAAAAAAAAAAGCGAAGCAAAACAAAGGGAATAGTTAGTTCCAAAACGCCCAGCACTATGCCTGCTTGGCATGATGCCTCAATCACATGATCCGACCGGGCATATCAAAACAAGCCCCACATGCTCCTTCCCACAGGAACATGCCACTGAGGTAACTCGACGTCGCAATCCAGGTGTCTCAGGCTGTAGCCATACTAACAAAAAGTAGAGCTGCTATGTCTGATCTCACAGCACTGCATGCTATCCAGTGCAAAGAGGCCTAAGTAAAAGCCAAATACTCTGAAGAAAACAATGAGTACGATGAAACGCCTGGAGGACATAGTCTCCCACTCTGACACTGCATGTACGCTGATGCACACCGTTCTAGCAAGTTGTAAAAATAACCACTGCGTGTCACATCCTGCCTGTTTCGGAATCAACAGCAAAACAGTAAACCACCGACACAAGCCGATGCCAACAAAAAGAATGGAGGACCTGGGTATCGATCCCAGTGCCTCGCGCATGCTAAGCGCGCGCTCTCCCATTTGAGCTAGACCCCCTGAATCTCGGAATCAAAGCTGATCCGATTTGCATTCCAATTTCTGATATCGTCTAAAAATAATCATATATAAAATACTGTATCAAAGTGGATTGCTCATGATGAAGCGGTGAAAGCGGGGCTCACACTCTACTGCGGGCTACTGATGCACCCATGCACCCAAGCTATCGCCTGTATCAGTATTACCAGCTTCTCACTTGAGATTTCATATCTGTCATTTATATTTTTTTCCCTGTTCGTGTTGGCTGATTGCACAGGAAAACCACTGCCCTACGATGTCGGTGTTGGCTTGAACAATTTGAGAAAGCAAGCAACTAATAGAGGATGAGCGTTTGTTTCATTTAGAGTCTAGTGAATCAAGAGCCGGATGCATGTCCCAAGTAACATACCAAGTGCTAATGTGGCTCGTATAGGTGAAACAACACTGTCCAATTCTCACATAAGATCGAGCGCCGGTGTACAGTGGGGTTATTCAATGGTATCTGCCACAAAAGGGTGGTTTTCCAACTGCAGAGTCAAAGTACTTTGGCATATATTTCATGTTGCAGATAGAGTTGATTAAGGAAGGAGACAATCCAGACAAATACCAGCATAGATTAACCATATATTCTATATTCTTTCACCTAAATTATGACTGGTTATCGGGTGTAGATAGAAAACATCTTTTCAAAAATCTGACTGAGGGGAAGAAGGAAAATGTATCGTCTGCCTGAGCCTTTGTACATGTGTGTTTCGACCTTGCCTATGGTGGTGCAAAGGGACTCCGGGCCATGAATATCAACATCAATAACTAAATGGTAGTTACAGCCCTTTTATACTACATACTAGCATAGGAGGCATAATAGTATTATGCTAAATTTAGTTACGTATAACCCTAATTGTGAAGAGGGTGGGGTACCTAGGGGTCTTGTGGTTCAATTTGGCCTGGACTACACGGGAATCTGCTGTGCGCTGATGGTTGCATCACTCGGTCAACGCTTATTCGATACTCCGATTTCATACTCTACGAACACTCACGCGTGTGTGACGTTAGCAACGGCAGTATATGCACTAATGCCATCCTGAACCGAAAACCTTTCAAATGCATCAGACCAGTCCAGAAGGCAATCTTCAGAATACTTTTGTTTCCAATCGGTGGCCAATATTGTTCAAGCCCGTGCTGGCAAAAGAAATCAACAGATTTCTTTAAAACAAGCAAGAGCGGAAAATAGATCATAAAACCTGTGTCTACTTTTACTGGCTCGTTAGGGAGCTGTATGCTGGTCATTCCTACATCACTAACCCCCGATTTGCTTGAGAACTGGGTTGACTCACTATTTGTTTATGACCGATAACATGTTCCAACAGTCCTTCTCAGCCCTGTCTTTGCACATACATTTTGTCTCAGACTCCAAGTAACATATGTCATGCCGCTAGGGTAGTTCCGACTCACCCTAGGCGGATTACTCACTGAGAGTGGCGCAGCTTTATCCAGGGCCGTACGCGGCTTAGATGAGGGCTCAGTATGCGCACTCGGCGCTTGCTTAAATACCCCTTGCTGGCTCCTAGCAGCAGGGATTCCTTCTGGTTTTTCCAATATATTTTTGTGAACGCTTACTTTTGGTTTTATCAGCACATTTACAATCATCACTAGGAGAACACGCTACCTAGTTTCCTCTTCCCTGACATTTGACCTAGGTCGTTTTAGGCACGCGCCGTATTATTGAAGTATACTTTGTGGGCTATGATGAGTGCTGACAGAAGAAAGGCACCTGGCACCACACATATTATATTATGCCTGCCTTTCCTTGCGAGCCTTTCATATCCACTTTCTTAGATTTGATCTTTTCTTTTCCCTTTAAAATATTAGAATCTTTCACTGCTACTATTCCGTGTCACTAAAATGGCTAGCAGCATCACCAACCAGCCTGAATCAATTAATTTTGCTAGGTCGTGGCTTGACCTAAGCGATGACGAAGATTATTGCAGTTCTGGGCATCTTTTCAGTTTCCTGCATATGAAGCAGCCACATACCAGATCAGCCTCCCCTGAATCTCCAAAAGAGCAGACGAAGCATGATCCACTTCGCTTCCTCAAGCCCACACTCAAGATAGGGCTATTCCAGTAAAGCACTGATATCACGCCTTAAACAGCCAAGGCATACGACGCTGCACAGCTGTAATTCTACAACCGAGCGTTTCTTTGTAACTATAATAAAAACGAAATACATGCTACTGAGGAACAACGCTGGCGGCTTGGTTCAGACAGGCCCCCAACACAGCGAGCGCCAGCCCCATTCTGGCGTGATTGGTGCTGCAAAAAAAAAAAAGAAAAAAGCAGTGCTACCGCCACTTGGCAGGCAAAAGAATGCTCTCCGACCGGGAATTGAACCCGGGTCTCCAATGTGACAGACTGGTGTACTCGCCACTATACTATCGGGGATCCACTCATTTTGTTGAATCTCTTGATAAATAAATCGTCCATGAACATACGGATCATGTGTACTTTGTTTAGCGGCTGCTTACTATTTGTAGGACACTGGCTTTATGCAACAGCATCCTAGCACTAATCCGCACCAATGATAAAACAAACTTTGGGATCAACTATAGTGCTTTGTGACATGGCCAACGTGTTCTGTAAGCAGCTGAATAATAGACTGTATAGATATCTCGAGTAATGAATTGCATCGATTGCTTTGACCTGAAACAAGTAGATGAATTGAGATAGCACTCCAAAGATATTGTAACTCCTAAGGATACTACAGAATATTGGTTTGTGTGCATGACTTATAGCAGGTGTGCATTCCATTATATCCATACCGTTTTTTTTTTTAATGTAAGAGCAGTAGTTATAAGTTGGCTGACAAGTGCAATGTAGCCCCAACCTGCATCAGCGATTTTTGTTAATGATTTGGAGCAGCTGTATGGAACTGCCTGCTTGATTAGCAGTATTAGTGTTAACGAATACAAATGAATTGCAGTGAATGATTGTATGGGATAGTGGCTCAAGGGCTATTGTCGTTGTTAACCTAGAGGATGAATAGCCATTGAGTATGTATGGAAAATAACTTTGGAAGAATATGACAAAAGGGAAGAAGGAATGCTGACAATCTTTCTGAGCATCTATACGTGTACATTTCATTCTTATCTACAGCTGCTGAAATTTGAGGTCTGGAGACTCCTGCACCACCACAGACACTATGGTTCCAAATCCACATGATTTCAGGAACCTATGGATCATGGCCCTTAGGCCACAATGGCCATCCATACCATTCCAGGCAACTGGCACTACTACTTAGACCAGCACCTGCCCTTTTCACCTGGCGATTTCCCCTTCCTTCTTTCATATAGCATATGTCATATGTTTAATATATATCGTGGAAAGATGCTTAGGTATGAAACACTTAGATAGGCAGCCTCCTGCAGCTGTCTGGAATACGTTTACTCTCCGAGACAAAATGGACAGCCCCAAATTGCAGAGTCAACTAGGAAATGGCATACCACAAATCACTATAAGTTATTGCCGCCCATCGTAGAATATGTATCTACCTAACATTTAGCTATGACAACAAAGCCTGCTACATTATCAACAGGATGGTTTGGCCAAGTAAATATATCTACCTAGGTATTTTATCTTATATTCACTGCATTAGTGTCTGCAAGTCCTATACTTATCGTATTGCCATTTGTACTATTTTGGTTGCACTTTTACTAATAATCTGCACAGTTCTATATATGGTGTAATTTATTACTGCCCAGGATCACTCAGACACAAGGTGTGTGCCCCTACAAACCGATGGAATGGTATAAATAGGTACTAAACTAGTCAGAAGCGCAGTGCTGACACTTGGCACCACCAGTGTAGAAAATATAAATAAAACAGAGGATATCAAAGTAATAGTATGGCCTATGAATGTGTGAATTGTCAGGTTGTCAGGATAGCTGTCACCCCCTTGAGCCAAACATGAACCAGGCACTGTGGATTTTGAGCTTGAAGTCCTAAGAATAATGCTTTAGTGTGAGTGCATAGCATAGAAGCTATCAGAATTAGATTTTCCTCATTTCCTCATTCTATTTTCTCTTTATATTTTGCTACCTAGTCCAATACTGGACCGGGTCCTTCTTGTCTTTCTTCTATATTTTTCTACTTGCTTAGTGCCTTTCTGCACTCCTTCACACTTTCTCAATATATACATCTTTGGGTGTTTCAGCCCACTCTATACTTGTATCACTTGTAACCTTCTGACAGAAGTCGTGGGCATGTTATTGCAGAAATGATGTGTGCCAGAGATTGTAACTAGAAATGGCATTGTTCAGGTCAATCTGTGCATTTCTGCGAGTGTGTTAAGCAGGCAAAGATGCTGCCTTATTAATAACTTGTAAGGATAGCTGCATCTACTAATGCTATCAATTGTTCTGGCGGAAAATTAATGAGGCTGGGTAAAACTATGAGATGGTGTAGCTATGAATTAAGGAGTGTATCTGGTACTGAATGAGGCAAAAAAAAAGCCGATCGTGTTTAGATGCCTAGGGCATGTAGCTACGTAATGAGCATCACTTGAGGCATCTACATCCAAGCTGCCCTTCAGCAAATGTGGTGTAGAGGCCACTGATAGTTTTTTTTTATTTAAAAAATCGTTTTCTCTTTCGCTTTCCTTACAGTGCTTTTACTATTTTTATCATAGGGATAAAGAGGGAGATACAGAGGCACATATTCACGTAGTGCCTATCATGTACCGTAATAGCGTAAGGGATTCCTGAAACAGCCCTTCTGCACAAGTCTACCGAATAGGCATTGCAAAAGGTAGCAGACGGATCAGTAGTGCGTTGCTTTGCTGGAGAAAAAGTAAAGCAGACAAGGGCAACGATTCACGGCCACTGTTACATCTGTCTATAGAAACTAATGGACATTACAGATAAGAAAATGAAACATGCTATGGCTCTCAGATCCAGCGAGGTAAGATGTCATGAATATGCAGCGAGGATCGCATACAGCAATTCTCGCAAATATGGATTTTTTTACAAAAAATCAATAGCAAAAGAACAGCCCGACGGGGGGGTCGAACCCCCAACCTTGAGATTAAGAGTCTCACGCTCTGCCGATTGAGCTAGCCGGGCTGGATTAACGGATTTGACTAATAATCCAAGCCAATTCACCTCTGAGAGGAAGAACTTTAGAATAATAATTGAATATCAGGATCTTCTGCCACGGCATCGTTGTCATGTTTACTTGCTTCAAACATACCTTCAGCGTCTCTCTTGCTTCCTCAACCTCACCCTGTTATCAATAGTCTCTCAGTGTATATGAACGATATTCAACCAACCTTGGTTTTCTTCTTCTTTTTTCTTTTCTTTTACCAGGTTGCCTATCCCTTATTCAAACATCATCAGCTAATTTCATGGTTACCATATATGCACTGACAAGAGCTGTGCGCTTACTATTAAATTTAGCGCACCTTTTCACATTTGTTTTTCTGTATTTAATGTACTATCTGGCTTCTCTCTTGTCACCTCTGTAAACCCCTGTCAGCTTCGCCAGCCTACAGCCTACTGATTGGCCATTGCTAGCCTAGGGGATGGGTGGTTATCAGGTGTATGGAAAATTAACTTTTCAAAAATATGACCGAGGGGAAGAAGCAAAGCTGATCGCCTGCCTACGCCTTTGTATGTATGCGTTTCGGCCTTGCCCATGGTGGCGCAGGGGGACTCCGGATCCCGAATGTCAACAGTCGCAATGCATTAGCACAGCTCTTCAAATATGCCTATCGTGATACTCTAATATCGCCACAGGTACACATACTACTTTCATATTCCCGTCACATCTTGCACTATAAGCCCTGCACCATATTAAAGCATCTGCTATATGCCCTTTTCCTCCAATGCAAGCATAACTGCAGTACACACACTGGCCGTTTACTCATGCACATACCATATCATTGATAGTTCAGTACTAAATACATCATATTGCCTTCATTTCCATTCGGCATCATCGGCATTGCTGCTATACTTGCGACGAGCAAGTTGGATCCAGGTCGGGTTGAGCCGATTCCACTCAATATACTCGGTGTCCTGCTCCCACCCGCCCTTGCGGATCTCTGGCTCCGCCGTAGCATGGTGGTGCGGCGGTGGCACAATCCCAGACATATTGCGCTGGTTGTCAGTGTACGCGTTCTGGAATGCTGCTGCATCAAACTTGTCCGGCGAAACACCCACCACATCCAAAACTGTCGTCCACGAGTACAGAAACGATGTCCGCGTCACCTTGTTCAAGAATGACGTCTTGTCTGCAACTTCACAGTCGATGCGAAGCTCATATGTGCACAAGTAGTCCTGAGCAATGAAATGTTCAATATTTTAAATAGAAACGAACTGTTTTAGATTACCATGAGGAACCTTCAACCTCAAACTTCTCAGCAATGGCGAAATACCTGGCAACCAGTTTGTGGACTGCAGGCTTCAGGTTCAAGCTGACAACAGCGTTCTGGACCTTGCTAAGGCCATGCGTCCTTACAAGTCTGATGACCTGCTCACAAACCGGGTTCGGGTAGGCCATACTATTGTACCATCTGTCGTGGTAAACAGTTAACCACACTACCGCATCTAGTGCAGCCATTAGTGAGTCACTGCTAGAAATCGGGATGGGGTCCTCCATGTCCTCGTTGCGAAGCCGCTCCTCGTCCTGCATATCGCTGAATGCCCCTGAATACAGCTCCAGCAGGTGCTGCCACGCCTTTGCTGAGAATCGGATGTTGAGCGCATACTCGAAGGCCTCCTTGGCCTCTGACGGGTGGCGAAGGCGCAGCGCAAGATCTCCGAGGGCCTCCCATTCAGCCTGCGTGTGACGGAATGTGATCTGCTGGCCAGTTGCACGCAGGTTGTGCATTTCAGATCTCCAGGCGGTGTAGGCGCGCAGATCATCGAACAGGATCATGATCAGGTTGTCAAGCCAGCGCTCACACAGCCGCTTGCGAATGAGGCCATGGCCAGAATCTTCGTCACTCTCGTCGCCATCCTGGCGGACACCGGCGTCCTCCTTTGGTTGCTTATCCGTGCCCTCATTTGCACCGCTCTGGTCATCGGCAGGGAGCACGGCCGCTTGAGGAGCTGACACAACATCAGCAACTTCCTCAGGAGGGCTCTCAGGCTCCATGAGCTTAGTGTCCTCGCTCTTGGGTTGCTCTTCCTCGGCGTCTGAAAGCTTGATCTCCTCGAGCCCGTCCTCAATCGCAGCAGCCTTATCCTTGCTTGGCGTGTCGTTCTCACCATCAGCGGTGGCGCTAGCGTCAGCATTGGCGTCGGTTCCAGCTACGGGGGGTTCTGTCAGCTCCTCGGTGGATGCAGGCTCCAGATGAGCAGCCTCCTTGAGGTTCTCCTTCGACTTCTTCTTGTTCTTTCTCTTCTTGTTTTTCTTGCTCTTGGAGCTGCCTCCAGGCTCGGTAGTAGTTTCCACGCCCGCATTTCCACCCTCCGTTTCGTCATTGACCGCCTCATGCTCATCCTTGGGCTTGTCATTCTCGATAGCAGGCTCTTCTGGTTCGATCGTGGCCTCAGGTTCCATTTCTGACTGTGGAGAAATACCCAGGTTGTCTTCCGCATCAGCCTTGCCGTTCTCAGCAGGCTCAGCCTTGTCATCCCCAACAGGTTCAATCTTGGTGTCCTCAACAGGCTCGGCCCTGTTGCCCTCAGTAGGCTCATTCTTAACCGTATC